TCAATCATTTTGACAGTTGCCATAGGCTATTTACTACTGATGTGTACCTTCATGAAAATCAAAAAGAAATTTAATCCCTCAAAATGGTACCGGTAGCCCAAATTTGGGGTCCCGTCTCATGGCCTAAAAGATCTTCATTTGTGTTCTCAAGATGAACGAAAGTGAGTAGTTATTAAAAGAATTTTCATTTTTGGGTGAACTATCCCTTTAATTAAAATTTTTGACTTAGTATGTCATAATTTTTACATTTTATCCCGTAATTATGACTATTTTTTTAAATGTTGTTGTTGTTGTTATTATTATTATTATTATGACTTTTTGTCATATTTTTAATTTATCAAAGCATGTTTTTTTTTCTTATGTGGCATAAATGGGCTTCCATAACCCCTTTAAGAAACTTAAAGGCAAAAAGAAATATAAAGTGACCATAACTTCTACTGCATGTCACAGAGTAATTCTCAGTAGCACATGATTGTGAGTTATGCTATCTCTGTTTTTAGGGGTTCACTACCCTTCTCTTGTCAGTGTCTGCGCTCAGCGTGTGACAGAGGGAGAGAGAAGTTTTTCGATGAGCACTCTGGCCTGTGGGTGCTACCTAGGGTGAGAATAATAACCGGCTATTCCTGGTCATTCCATTTTTTGTCCACAGAAACGTGTTTTTATTTTTTTAAAGTGTAAAATAAAACTGATTCTTGATCAGCACTATTTTATGCAAGCACTTCTGGAATTACATTACTTAAGTGTTCCATACTGTTCATGGTTTCTCTCTCAGGATGATGCTGGTTGGAGGTGTGGGTTCCCTGATGCTGGACTGGTTTGGATGGGAGAGTGTGTTTTATGGAGCTGGTCTCCTTGCTTTTTGCTGGACCTTTTGTGTATGGAAATGCCTTCTCCAAGGTATCTTTATATGATCCTTTACATGTTTAAATTAAGTAGCATTCTTGATTGGTGAGTGCTATTTTATTGCTTTAAAGGTCAGAATTGGTATAATTAAGTCTCTTAGAGAAGTTGCAGTGAATCAGAAACAATCAGTATTGGTGTTTGCCATAGCAACTGTGTGGATAGAGTAATTGGGCCTTTTTTTGCCCGTGTAATTTCACAACAACCTGTTTTTAAACATCTGACTCACCATGCAGCACCATGAAATTAGAGTATTCTTTACTGAGGTTCCTGCTATATCTTAATCATCTTACGCTGTCTTCAGAAATGGTGTTTGTTACATCTTGTCACCAGTTTGTTTGTTCGTCACAGGTCCAGTTTTTTCCTTTGACTCGCTGTGGATCACCAACAATTGCATTCCTGAATCCTCTAGAATCAACTGGCTGCATCTCTTCAGAGAGCCTAGTGTCTGGTGAGGTTCAAAACATAAACATTTGTCTCTCATTTTACTCTCTACATTAACCCATTGTTATGTTCGGTTTTTCATTTTGTTTTGTGTCATTTTCCTGAAAAAGGTTAAATAAATAAAAACTGATGGAAAGAGTTTCCAGGGCTTCCCCTCATGATGACATATTTTTAGGGCACTCAAATTGTCATATGAGAAAATGTTAAATGTTTATTGGTTACAAACTCAAAGAAACATGTATTTCTATTTGAGTTTATATATAGATAGATATTAACATTTGCTAATTGCATGTGTCTGTGTGTGTTTTAGGGCCATGATCATTTCTCATCTATGCTTTAGTAGCACCTATTACACCCTCATTTCATGGCTACCAACCTATTTCAAAGACATGTTTCCTCATGCCAAGGTACCCCAGTCATTTCACATTTGTCGGTTTTACTGATTGTTTCCCTTCTTATTTGTATTTACACTTCCAGTTTGATTACCAATGCTGTTAATGTTAATATGTTAGTGACAATTCTAACTCTATATTGCTGAGGTTTTCTTGTTTTGGTCGTTTAACGTTGTCATTTTCTAAATCTGTTTTGTTTGCTGACAGGATTGGGTGTTTAATGTGATTCCTTGGTTTGTGGCGCTGCCCACTTCACTATTTGGAGGCTCTGTCTCTGATCATCTCATTAGGAAAGGTGAACAAAACTCTCTCTTGACTATTCTACAATTTAGTGAATTGACGCTTAATTCGTATAAATTAATTTGATCTCATTTGTACGTTTTCTTATGATCTTCTTGCACCCCAGTGACTGTTTGGTCACTGTTTCCTGCTTCCTTTTTTCTAAAAATCTAATTTTCTGAGTTCATATGAAATTCATACAAAATAGTTGTAACTGAGATAAGGTTGACCAAAACATTGACAGTTTCTGGTGGACCCTGATGTTTCTATAAGTAATCATAATGAAATATCTTGGTGAAATAAATCACTCATGTCTTTATGTCAGGTTGTGAGACAGCAACTGTAAGGAAATGTATGCAGGTAACACAACAACAGCTATGAACTTTATTTTGCTCTGATATACTGCAAAATTACATTACAGTTTTTTTTTATTGCTAACGGTCAAAACTGAAGTCACATTTTCAAACCTCTTCAGACAGTCACTCAGAGGTCTTATCTATACCAAACTGTGAATAATTTTTCATTGCTTTCACACAAAATGCATTCAATGACCACGTTTGCCAAAATCAATGAACACTTTTGTCATTCATATTTCACCATCTGCAAAATACTATTTGCAACACATTTTTCGAAGATTTCTAGACCATTATCCTTTACCATTCTTATAAAGTTTTTAGCAGGAGGTTTCCCAGTGGGCACTGGACCCTGATCAATAAGAACTTCTGTAGACAGGTTAGTAATAAGTGAAGCTGGTAATGCTGTTTGTGGAGCACGTCCAGTGCCTGCTTGGAAACTTCCTGCTAAAAACTTTGTTTGGGGATAATGTTCTAATGTAATGTTTTTAGAGAATGTTATCCTACCTTTTAGGAAAACGTCCTGGGAACAAAAATAAAACTTGCCGCTGAAAACATTACTAGAACAAAAAAAGCAGCTTGGACTCAAATACTGCACATACGTGAGATTATACTATGTTGTTGATGTTTTTTTCCCGACTTTTTATTTTTCACAAGTAAATTAGTATATGTAAAGATATAGAAAAAAACGAATTGCGACATTTCTCATTGATTCTTGTTGTAATACAGTCAGTAAAAGAAAAGATGTTATTCTAATCCTATAATGAAATATGGATTTATGTGGAAAATCATTCAAACTTCAAATATAACAGTTCATCATTTATGTAATGCTCTCTGTTGGGGTTTTTAGGTCAGTGTGTTATGAGTGACAAATGAGAATTCAGTGTTCGGGTGGAACGAGCTTAGTTTGAGACGTAAAGTGTTTTGGTCTGAGTGAGCTTTGGAGGTGAGATTAACTGCTTGGCCAAGATTCATGTTGGTAATGCAGACTGTATAAAGAGTTTTGAAAAAGTGGCTTCAGTAATGATAGATGCTTGTTAGAGCCTAATGCATATATTGCATCATAATTGTCTTTATTGTGTTTGTGTGTGTCTGTTTGTTCTGTGTAGTTCTGTGCTATGGGAGCAGCCAGTGTGTTCATCATCCTTCTCTGTAAGACGAGCAGTTTTGTCCAGGCTGTTGCTTGCGTGTCTCTGGTTGTTGGGCTGTCCACCTTTAATAATAGGTTAGAATGAACTGTCATATCCAAAACTTGATCTTACAACAACAGCATTGATTATATACACTGATTATGTACAGAGTGGTATATTGTTCTTGTGTGTGTGTCTTTTCATGTGAAGTGGGGTGTCCGTGAATGTGCATGACCTGGCACCGTCGTGCGCAGGAGCCCTGTTTGGTAAGTCCATTTACTTTTTTTTCTCTCTTTTTTTTTTTGTTTTGTTATTTAGGTCTATTAATTAAAACACAATGTTATGTTTTAAGTGTAATTCTTAATATGTCACTCTATTTCTTACAGGGGTTATGAACACATGTTCTGCTTTTTCTGGTGGGTTATAATCCATTTATCTGTAATAAAACCAATTACATGTAAACAAACTATACAGTCCACTGGATATTAATGTGCCCATACTAGTAGGAGTATTAAAATAGTTTACAATCTTAGAAATACGTTTTTGATAAGGTCAGTGTACTCAATCTGAATTCTATTTAAATATTTGAAAAATGTAAATAGTGAAAGTGATCTGAAACTAGTTTTTAATCTGCACAATTGTGTAAATTCACATTCAAGTCCTGTGCACTTTTTTACTTGTAATACCTTCCTCTTTGCCCATAGCATATGCTCTTTGTACTGTATTTCACAGGTTTGCTGATGGTGTACATGTCTGGCTACATCATTGAGATGACAGGTTCCTGGGAGACTGTGTTCTCCATCCTGGCTCTGGTGAACATCATTGGTATCACCATATTCATTGTGCTGGGTGAAGCAAAGCGAGTTGATCAGCTGGATCAGCCTCAGATCATTTGAGCGTCATGTTGAAAACAAATTATACCTCTCGGATGCATATTGGTGGTTCCTTATTTGTCATTTGTAACAAATGGATTGGGAACTCTTTAACACTCTAAAACACTGTATAATATCTTTCTGTCATTATTTATTCATTTAAATGTATGTTAAATATTTGGCAGAGCTGGTTGGAAATGATAGAGTGAAACAATGTTTTATGTAAGAAATATTTATCTGAAATGTAAATTTGATAAATATAAGAAACGCTTATTTTTTGACAATTGTCCTTCCACTATTTTGAATAATTAAACTATTAAACTAAAGTGTTTCTGATCCGTGATCAACGAGCACTAGTGTAATTCTATGCAAGTTCTCTCATTCAACAGAAGGTGGCGACAGAGGACAAATGAACAGCATGATTCATGAAAATCACAAGTAGGATCATTACAAACAGTACCAAAAATTAGTTATCTGTATTCATACGTAAACACACATTACATTCGGTAATATCAGGGTTACTTTTTTGACTTTTAAGCCATACCCTCTCCATGACAGTGTAAGACCCCTTTCATCTAGTGAAACGGGCCTAGTTCTACAGGGGGAGATGCGCACCATGCGCACGTCGTTGTGATGATGTCACGGGTGGGCGGAGCCGAGCGAGATCTGCTGCATCTGGTACACTTACGTGATCGCGCGGTTCCCGGGGATGCAACCACAAATTTAACATCGGTTTCTTAAACGCACTAAAATTAAATCACGACGCCGGGGCCGACGAAGCGGTAAGCGATGCATGCGTTTAAACCTTGTTAAGCCTGAAGAAAAAACACATTTTGCCTGCTTCCTTGATTTATCAGTGGGCTTGGGTGAATTGGGCTTATGTGGTCTAACGGGAGCGCGAGCTAACAGGCCAGATAATATGGATGCTGGAGCGCTAAGCAAACAAATCACCGGGGCCCTTGCTGGTGATGAAGAAGCTGTGCAAGTCAGAGATTTACTGTAAATCATTTCCGTTTGTTTAAGTAATCTATTTCAGTAATCTATTAACAGTACACAGTAGGTCGCAATTTTGTAGAGCATAAAAATGATCTCATTGCCGATTGTTGCTTAGATTCACATCATCAGTAAATCGCCCCTCATCTTTATATTGTGAATGAATGAATCATTTGTGTATTTTCTCTTGTTGACTTGACGTGTATTTGAATTGAGATTCCGTGACGCGGACAGTAGTGCGACATTTCTTTCACGCAGACCGAATAGCGCAGTTACGTGTGGATCTGTAAACGGCAGGAATGGAAATCGTGCTGCGATTATGATTTTGATTACGATTCCTTATTAACCTTTCTTTTTGAACTTGCAGTACTGCTCAATACTAACAGAAATGCACTTCGCATCGCATATAATATTGCCAAATGATAAAATAATTTTTGATTTTAACAGCCTTATTAAACCAGAAATAACTTGTACTTTCTTCAAAAGGCATATGCTCCCATTTCAATGACGTTTCAAAGACTTTTGAATGCGGACTACATGCTGTCGAGCACTAATAGAAATTGTAAAAAAAAAGAAAGAAAAAAAAGAAGTGGTAACATATATAATTAATTGATACATTTCATTATTTTATAAAATACTACTTAACTACACATTTTCATCTGAGCAACCAGCTATAAGATTCAGATGTAAGTTTCACGAGCCTTCAGTGCACAGAACACAGTACCGGTTTTCTGTTAAAGTCGGCATGAAATTTTATTTATTTATTTAATTCGAACATGTATAGGAAACAAATTTTAAAAAACTTAATGACAAAAACCTAATAACAACAAATACAAATCAAAACAGAAAGCGAAAAAACAATGTTGAAAAGGAAAACCATAAAAGAAAACAATGAAAACAATATTAACTTGCATGTCCGAGTAAGAAGAATGAGTTTATTTAATCCTACCCCTTCTCACTACTTATCAATAATACTCCGGTGGCCTATCATCTTAATCTATTTTTCTCCATACACACCGAGAATACATAAATAACAAACATATTTACCTATATTTGTATCCACCATAATTATTAAACAATGCAAAAAAATTTTTTAACTGAGATCACCTATTCAACGACCTTCTTCATTCTTGTACCTTGTCAAAACTATACTTTTGTACCGCTTTTTGAATTGAGTTATGCTTGGACATTGTTTGAGCACTGAACTTATAGTCTGTTCCACAACTTCACTCCACATATAGAAATAGAAAAACTTTTTAATGTCATACGGACACAGGGATGTTTAAAGTTGCACAAATTAAACAGAAGTTACAATTGCGTGATGCAGGTATGACGTCACTTTGTAGGCCAACCTGCAGTTAGCATCACACTGGTTCTCTCGAGGAACACCCCAATAAGACTTTCCCATAGGCTTTTGGATTATTGCTAAACACAAGCTCTGTGATCAACAAAAGTTTGATACTTGCACGTTTTGTCAATCAAGATAATTATCACAGATGAACACAACTTTTAGGATTTCAGAAGCCTAAATGCAGTCACCAGAAATAAAAAGCTAAAGGTAGGCTATAAATGAACTATACCACGGTCACACAAATTCAAACGTCACCACCACTAAGCTTCCAACAACTCTTTCAGTTTTTATCTAAAAACATTTTCCCAGAATGTTTGAGTTAGAATAGTTTATAAGAGCACAATTAGGAGCATAATGAAGCTGTAAAAGCGGACTGAGCTTTCCTTTTCGGCGTGATTTAGCCACTTGTTAGCAACTGCTTTTTTCAAGACTGGTAACAGCTTAAAAAAATCATTAGTGGGGTAATATTGATATATTTTATGTCGTAGAATAAAACATGAAAGTGTCTTGAGCTTGTGTTCACCACAGCCCTTATTTCAGCCATTTAACCAAAACCTCATTCAAAAAACCCATTGAGTTCGGTGACAATGGAACCGTAAGTGCTAAAATGCTAATGCATTTCTGCGTTTTGGCCTACAAAGTGATATCGTACCTGCACCACTCTATAGTCTTTACTACCATATTGTGTCGAATAGCCCATTGAAACGGCTTCTCGAATGAGTGAAAATGTAGGACGGCACTTGATTTTGTCCATCGGGAATTGATTGGATAGTTGTGGGTTTGCTATTGCTGTGATGTCATGTGAGTGACAGGTTGTCCCGCCCTCGCGCCCATAAACACGTCATCAGAGAAGAGGTGTGATTGCAAGAGGGAGGAGAAGTTATTTTGATTAAAGATTATGAAGGCACATGAAAAAGAAAAAGAAGACGTGCAAGGATAAACCACTATCCTACACCATTGTTAGGAATCATGGGTGGGTCTGCCTGAAAGTTTCAGTGAATGATGCTGAATGCAGCCAGGCTCTTACTTCAGCTCCTGAATCCTCATGATGCTTCTGGAAAATGTGCATCCATGACACATGACTTTTGTTTGTCACTATGTATTTTTATCATCATTTGATCAGATGCTTATCATTAACATCTGTATTAAACACAACCTACAATGAACATCGTTTGAATATACGATACCTTATTTGCATACCGCTATATGGTAGGCCTATTCATTAGAAATCTTTGCAGACTTTTCTCTTTGATTTCGAACTAATCTGACTTACAACAATGTGCCCAAATGTGTTCTTGTGAGGAGTCGTCCCACTCGGGAGCTCTGAATGCTGGTTGTCTCAATTTTTGGGGTCTGGCAGTGCTGAGTAAACTATCTGAGATCCTACAGTCAGCTGAGGAAAGCTCAGTGTGCCCAAGATTGATGGGACACAAACCCAGGCCTCTCCAGACATGATGAGACAAGCAATCACATGGAGAGACAGATTAACGCTTGCTTTATTCTCCCACCGGCATGAAACCATGTCAGTCTTTGTATTTCATGTGCTTTAGTTCACCATAGTAAGCCTGTAATCTACAGTCAACACATGAAAATATGGATTTGACTGATTCACAGGGCAACACTTATGAAAATCTGTCATCACTCTGCTGGGTTGTGAATATGACATCTGCTGGAAACTGAACCCTGTGATATCCTGTGGTATCAATTTCTCTTTCTCGGGACCAACACGAGAGAATCAGCTGACAGGAAAAGTGTGAGTCAGCTAGGGAATCATGAGTAATACTTCTGATCACTAGTAGGGAGGGCTAGTTATGTCAGCATTGCTGTAGTAAAGGTCAGGAATAGGATTAGTTCAAAATCACTGTGTTTGTGTGCAACTGAGCTAAAGTTGTCATTAGAAACATCTTTGTGATATTGTTCTTGTTATCTGCTCTTGTGTCAATAGCCTGAACATCATGCTATGACAGATAGACAGAAGAAGTGTAAAAAATTCAGACAAAAACAAGCAGCATGATGTTCTTTGTTGTTTGGCCCCTGTTAAAACCTTTATGCCGTCTTTAAAAGATCCAGCTGCTCTGTATTTTTCTCTAAGTTGAAGTATTGATTTGAAATCCATTTAAACTACTAATTATCTTGAGTGGTTTTAGTGTTGAAACCTCAAACTATGATCTGGAGAATATTGGAAATGTTCTCTCTGCAGTCTGTTCATCTGATAATGCTTTTTTTTGTCCTCTGAGGTTTTAAAGGCACGTTTATAATCGGCACATATTTAGCAACTCGAAGGGTTATTAAACAGACAATTGAGATTCTGTTGGGTGGTTTTATCTTAACAACAAAACACTTGGAAGTGGGAAAAACTTTGGAAATATTATTGGAATATGAATAATATTTTCTTCTCAAATCAAAGATCTGTCAAATTCAGTTGTAGTCTGACTTATGTTTACACACATGTCTTTTATGAAAGAGAACCTCACTCCAGTATGTCTGGTCTGTTTGAGAGTATTCCAACTTTGTGACATCAAAAATCCATTTTCATTATTATTTTCAGTGTTACAGCAAATTCAAATTATGCCAATTTACATGCACACATATCATGCAAAATAATTTATAGATATATACAGTTGCAATCAAAATTATTCAAACGCCCCCCTCCCTCCCAGTGAGTCTAATCATTTACAAATGTAAGCTTTTCTAAAGATAGTGTTAGAAAAAAAGCATCTTGTTTAGTGGCAAATTAAAAGTGATAATGTCAATATATAATGAAATGCTTTTGAGTTATAGGATTTTTTTTCTAATACAGCTATGTCATAATTATTCAACCCCTATTCACCTCTGCTGTTTTTAAGTCACTTATTAGTATATATTAGTATTAGTATCACTTATTGAATATATATATACATATATATTAGTTGCAATCAAAATAATTCAATATACACTCACCGGCCACTTTATTAGGTACCCCATGCTAGTAACGGGTTGGACCCCCTTTTGCCTTCAGAACTGCCTCAATTCTTCGTGGCATAGATTCAACAAGGTGCTGGAAGCATTCCTCAGGGAGTTTGGTCCATATTGACATGATGGCATCACACAGTTGCCGCAGATTTGTCGGCTGCACATCCATGATGCGAATCTCCCGTTCCACCACATCCCAAAGATGCTCTATTGGGTTGAGATCTGGTGACTGTGGAGGCCATTTTAGTACAGTGAACTCATTGTCATGTTCAAGAAACCAATTTGAAATGATTAGAGCTTTGTGACATGGTGGAAGTAGCCATCAGAGGATGGGTACATGGTGGCCATAAAGGGATGGACATGGTCAGAAACAATGCTCAGGTAGGCCGTGGCATTTAAACGATGCCCAATTGGCACTAAGGGGCCTAAAGTGTGCCAGGAAAACATCCCCCACACCATTACACCACCACCACCAGCCTGCACAGTGGTAACAAGGCATGATGGTTCCATGTTCTCATTCTGTTTACGCCAAATTCTGACTCTAACATCTGAATGTCTCAACAGAAATCGAGACTCATCAGACCAGGCAACATTTTTCCAGTCTTCAACTGTTCAATTTTGGTGAACTCTTGCAAATTGTAGCCTCTTTTTCCTATTTCTAGTGGAGATGAGTGGTACCCGGTGGAGTCTTCTGCTGTTGTAGCCCATCCGCCTCAAGGTTGTGCGTGTTGTGGCTTCACAAATGCTTTGCTGCATACCTCGGTTGTAACGAGTGGTTATTTCAGTCACTGTTGCCCTTCTATCAGCTCGAACCAGTCTGGCCATTCTCCTCTGACCTCTGGCATCAACAAGGCATTTCCGCCCACAGAACTGCCGCTCACTGGATGTTTTTTCTTTTTCGGACCATTCTCTGTAAACCCTAGAGATGGTTGTGCGTGAAAATCCCAGTAGATTAGCAGTTTCTGAAATACTCAGACCAGCCCTTCTGGCACCAACAATCATGCCACGTTCAAAGTCACTCAAATCAACTTTCTTCCCCATACTGATGCTCGGTTTGAACTGCAGGAGATTGTCTTGACCATGTCTACATGCCTAAATGCACTGAGTTGCCGCCATGTGATTGGCTGCTTAGAAATTAAGTGTTAACGAGCAGTTGGACAGGTGTACCTAATAAAGTGGCCGGTGAGTGTATATATATATATATATATATATATATATATATATGAGAGAGAATAACTAAATGATATATATATATATATATATATATATATATATATATATATATATTAAAGGAGTACTTCATCCATTTCAACATTAATCTTTATTGAAAGTGGGTCATATATGTAGTCGAAATGTAAAATAAATTTTGAATTTGGTGCCCTCTTGACCGTGAAAAGACAGAAAATAACTTTTGGGCGCATTTGTATGTAAGACAACAACTCCCACAATGCACCACATTGCACAGCTCCGCAAGCCACTCCCACTAATCCGGTGCAAGGCACAACACCGGTTCCCGCCTCATTCTTCCCACAACAACGAACCCCGTTACATTGGCAAACTCATTAGTGAATTACTCCTCGTTTGTATTTCTTTCTATATATATGGTGAATTATTGCATAATACCTGGATGTTCAGTCAGAACATATGCGGTGCGAAACTAGGATGGTTCACATCACAACACAAACGTCCGTGTGCTCGTCTGATTCAGAGATTTCGTCCAGGAGAAATTGCCATCGTTGAAATTCTCTGCAGCAGACGAACTCTATCTGTGTCCGTAGAGCACAGGCACCAGCAGTCCGCCCAGCTCGAGCCAGTCCGGGCTCCTCGTCCGCGACAGGCAGCCGCCGCCTGCTCCTCCAGCCTCAGCTGCTCTTCACTATACTGCGGCTCGTAAAGATAGCGACGAACACCGGATTCGAGTAGCAGAATTTCAAAATCCTCTTCTTCCATATCATGTTTAGTTTCTTCCGTCATTGTCGTAACTTCCTATCTCCACAGCGCTTGTTAGCTTAGCTTCCAAACAAGATGGCTGATATTGCTTTCTGTATCTGCAAGTGAAGTCCCACCCACTGATCTGTAATAGGTCTGTAGCGTGAGTGGGTCCCACACCCTGAATAAATGATGAGCTTGTGTTTGTAGTCTCTACACTTTTCAATGAAATGTGACTTCCTGCTTATTGTGACGCAAAATGACGATTTTTACGTCACAATAAGCAGGAAGTAAAACACTTAAATCCTTTTTCTCCCATCTCAGGGAAAAATAAAGGAAAAATCCACGACCATTATAATATATGACTGGGTTTCTAACAATACAAAGCTTAATGCAAATGGGTGAAGTGTCCCTTTAAGATTACTTTTTTAACGTCATGAATATTATTGAATATATTTAATATGTAACATATATCTAAAAGTATTATTGTAAATTAACTATATATATAATATATACAGTATATAGTGTGAGAGAGAGAAAGAGAGAATAACTAAATTATATATATATATATATATATATATATTAGTTGCAAACAAAATAATTCAATATATATATATATTCAATATTATATATATATATATATATATATCGATCGAGAGAGAATAACTAAATGATATATATATATATATATATATATATATAATTTACTTATTTTCTCTTTCTCTCACTCTATATACTGTATATAGTTCATTTACAATAATACTTTTAGATATGTTACATATTAAATATATTCATGACATAATGTTAAAAAAGTAATCTTAATTGCTATTGCTTAATTGATTTTCCAGATTGAGTGTTTTCTGACATGTTGCCTAATGTGAAAAGGCGATATCTGTGTAGAAGAGTTGACATGTTAGTGGTTGAAGCAGCCTAATCCACTATCACTACTGTGATTTGACATCATCATCTTGTTTAAAGCAGAACTGCTCTCTAAAACTAGGAACAAGGGACTTTTTGTAGTGAAGGAAGGGTTTTGTCTACATATGCCATCTGATTCCAGATTGACCAAACTACATGAAACATATTGCATATCACACTGAATGGTAAATTACTCACACTAGAATATGGATTGTATAATAAATAAAGGAACTTAAATACATTTATGGTGACTGACTAAAAAAAAAGCCTGATGGAGAGAGAGAGAGAGAGAGTGCAAGAAAAAAATCAGTAGATGACCTAAGCAAATCATGAGGATCCGTAATTATTTTTGATTTATGGCAATGATTATGACGAAGGTCTTTTGGAATTAGGTCAGTGTCCTTTTAAGAGTTTGTAATATTATCGTCCAGCAAAGTGTGTTTGTGTGTTCAGATTGTTGAGGACCTGATACACCATGGCTGACCAGCAGAGGCAGCGCACTCTCTCCACCTCTGGAGAATCACTCTATCATGTTCTGGGTGTCGACAAAGTGGCCACTGTCGATGACATCAAGAAGTCGTACAGGTGAGTGTGAGAAGCTCCGGCCCTTTCTTTAGCATCCTCCTTCTGTTCTGCTTTATCTCAATTTTACTGGCCGTGGTTTTCATCAGATGTTCATCGGCTAAATGCAGCACACAGCAATGTGGAACCCTGCAGCTCAATAAAACTAAGTGCATTCAGGGACGGTTTCCCATGCACAGTTTTAGCTTACTCTAGGACTATACAAGAATAATGGATCTCAGTATGAAGTGTTTTTTAAAGAGATATCACAGTGTGAGATTTTCATGGAACATTAACCTATTCTAGAAATATCAAGGCATTGCTATCACTGTATTGTGCAGCAAAGATATTTCATGATTCTCAATACCAATTTATAACACAGAAAAAAATAATATGATGATAAATTACTGTGTATTAAAAAGTTAACTATTAACTTTATTTCTACTTCGTAAACATTGCTTCACTAATAAGGGACAAAGAAATAAATATTGTTCTCTTTTTTTTATTTTTATAATTAATCGTTTTTTTTAAATAGATGTTGAATTAAACAAGATAACAAATTAAGTTTTATTTATATAAAAAAACAAATTATGTCAGGTCTGTTGAGCTACATTCAAGTCTGTTATATTGATACAAATAAAATGTGTATTTTTTCCAAATGTCCAAATGCCAAAATCTGAATGCATTTAATGCAGTTTGTCTTTTTTTCCCCTTTTTTTTAAAGAAAACTGGCATTGAAATATCACCCTGACAAGAATCCTGATAACCCTGAGGCATCCGATAAGTTTAAAGAGATAAACAATGCCCATGCCATCCTTAACGACCCAACAAAGAGAAACATCTACGACAAGTATGGCTCTCTGGGACTTTATGTGGCCGAACAGTTTGGAGAAGAGAATGTCAACACTTACTTTGTTCTGTCCAGCTGGTGGGCCAAGGTAAGCCTCCAAGTAGCATTTCAATAAAAACATATAATGAGATCATCGGCAGTGCAGTATAGAAACAGTACACGACCCGTCAGTTCGATTTTTGTAATGTTTTTGAAAGAAGTCTCTTATGCTCATTAAGGGCTGGTTCACACAGAACATGTTTTTGCTGTTAAAAACACAAGATGCAGGTCAGTGGAACGGAAAAAAGAGACATGAACTTCTTTTAACTTGAGTGCCGTGTTTTTTTAATGCTGTGTCATGCGGGAGACGCTGCAAAAGACGCGAACGCAGCGGTCAAAGACGTCCGTCTAGCGTGTTTACATTGAAAAACAATGGAAACGCATTCTGTGTGAACATTCTCTGTAAGGATGCATTCATTTTATATAAAATCCTGTAAAACATTATTTTTTTTTGTAAAACGCTATTAAAATATGAAAATAGCTGTCATTTTAATATATTTTAAAATGTAATTTTTTCTTGTGATGACAGCTTATTTTGTCAGCATTCTTCGATGAATAAAAAGTTCAACAGAACAGCATTTATTTGAAATATAAATCTCTTGCAACATTATAAATGTCTTTATTGTCGCTTTTGATCAATTTAATGCATCCTTGCTAAATAAAAGTATCAAATTCTTTCAGAAAAGAATGGCAGTGCAATAGGCTTTATGCCCAGCTGCACTACTTCCTGAACTTCAGCCAGCTCCTTGTTTCCTGTCTGACATTATTGGACAAACTGATTAACCCAGGTGTGTCTGGTATTTGTTACTGGTCAGGCACACCTGGATTAATCAGTTTGTCCAATAATGTCAGACAGGAAACAAGGAGCTGGCTGAAGTTCAGGAAGTAGTGCAGCTGTGCATAAAGCCTATTCACTCTAATTTATTGTGTTGCTCTCTGTCTCCCCCTATAGGCTCTGTTTATTTTCTGCGGCCTGGCTACAGGCTGCTACTTCTGCTGTTGCCTGTGCTGTTGTTGTAACTGCTGCTGTGGGAAGTGTAAACCACGGCCACCTGAAGGACAGGAACAGGAGTTCTATGTCTCCCCTGAGGACTTAGAGGCCCAACTGCAGTCCGATGAGAGAGGTTAGGTTTGTTCATGTGTGTTATACCCCCGTAACATGCAGCATGTAAACAGCTATTCCTATTGTCCTGAAGACTCTTTGTGTTTAAACCATTTTTTCCCTTTTGAAATGTTTCCACAGAGGCAGGTGGAGGTGAGCCTATTGTGCTGCAGCCCTCGTCTGCCACAGAAACCACCCAGCTAACGTCCGACGGTTACCATTCTACTTACCACACTGACACCGGCTTCAACTAAAAGCCTCACCCTCATCACCTCCACCCCGTGGCTTGTCTCTCGCCACTCTGTGCCATCTAGCCGAGGGGAAAAAATGAATGGAAAGAAGAATCCTTCAACTACAACTAAAAAAGCCTGTTTTCGAGAGGGAGGAAAGCCAGCGATGGAGCTGAATTCTTTAGCCTATCCTGTCCCTTATTCACGCACCACTTCCATTACCCACACAAGAGTGGCACACATCCGCCTCACCGTACCGTAACTTAAAAAAAAACGAGCTTAAGAAAAAAAGATAAAAAAGATCCTGTCGTTTACCCTGATCTCTTTGTTGCCTTTGACCTCCGATCTTGCCTTCCACTCGTTCCCTCGCTCCTCCAGCCAGATTTGCTCGTCGTCCTGTGGCATGCACTGTTCCTTGACTTTGTTAAATGAATTCTTCGCAGTTTTTGGGTATATTTATTGAAATGAAATGTTTGTTCCCAATTATAAGTACTTGAGTGTGGTTTAAAGTTGACTCCTTGAACTTGCCATAGGTGTTCGAAGACTAGTGCGGCTGCACTGAGAAAACAGCAGGAATATATTTCACTCTTAAAATCTTGAATATTCTCTTCGCATACCTCTCCAATCCTCCTGGTTTACCCAGAGTTTGAATCTTTCGTGTCCCCGTAGGCCATTTTATCTGCTTTGTGTCATGAAATGGAGTTTAATTTTGAAGCTAACGACATTCTACATTAATTGGGTTCTTTGGATTGCTTCGCTCTGTTTTTTCGTTTCATTACAGCTATACTTTTTTAAGAGAGAGAGAGAAAGAGATACAAATGATGCAATTGATTAACTTGCCATTCCTTCTTAGTATTTTGCTCATTTACATCTGGGTGTTTGTGTTTCTGTGTTGTTCTGTGGACTATTTGCAACAAGCTGAGCCAAAATTAGGACTCTTCTCTATATGTGGAATGGGATTAACTGTCATCTCTGTGTAGTTTGTAGGTTGTTCATTGATGTGGGCACTCAGCTTTGGTCTTAGTGTTAAGCTCAATTTGGCCCAGTTGTGTCTCTTTTCTCTAATCAAAAGGGAATCACGGACGCAAACTGACATAAACTCCCATAGTGTCATATCTCGAGTGTGTACGTAAGGTGGAAACTAAAACCGATGACATTTTTGTATAGATATACAATCTACACACATCACGTGTATATACAATATATGTATATTTTGGGCATTTTTATATTTTAGTTGTTGGCGTGGCGCATATAGTTAAGATAACTATTGTTTGTGTCTGTGGTTCTGACCTCTTGTGGTCACTTGAGACTCCCTATGCCAAGATATACTGTATATTGTGAGAGAAATTTTTGCAGTCATTAATTTCTGAGCGGTTTCTTTGTGTCTCAGATTATTTATTGAAGTGGCAAAACTCTTTTTAACACTACTAGCATCTGGATACATGCTCAAAGTTCAATCTCAAAGCTTGAAAGGGCAATTTATATATTTTACATAAATAATATAAAGCCTGCTTTTAGGACATTTCTCTAATGCGTCCGGATTTAGAAAAGTAATGAAAATGATTTTGTCTGGGCTTTTTGAAATAAATTAGCATAAATAATTAGAGGTGGTAAAATAATAAATATGTAATTTTTTATAATTGAAGTCATAATCATGAGATTTTTCTCCTCAGTATTAAGGATGGAGAGAAATATACTGAATTGTCATGAAAATAATACTTAAAATCTTAATTGTCTTAAAAACAGGCTTTTTTCTTTGTGCAATATATATCTTTTTTTGGGACCTGGCAAATTATTTCTCTTTCTGAGGGCAGAGTTCACAATAAAGCAAATGCAAGACTACGTCACTTTTTTTTTTTTTTTTAGCTTGGCAGTTACATTTTCCTTCATTTCGTGAAGTTGAATACCGGTAGATTGAACAAACTTGCAGTCTTAAGCCTGGAATACACTACACAACTTTTAAATTCGGTACAGATTTAAAAAAAACTAGACATCATACACTTGCCGACTTTGTAAATCGTTACAGAGGAAAAACTGGGCATCACTAAACAACTGATGATCACGCACTACCAGACCTTCAAGTCGTTCCTAACACAACAAACTGGCGTAGAAACGCGTGGCTTGTTGCTAGGAGATGCGTGACAATTGAAAACAAAATGTGCTAAAAAATCATTTTGAAATATCAAACATGTTTGATATCCTCTATGGAATCAAACTTTGAAGCTAAAAAATCGGAGACTGACCATCATACACTACATGATTTTCTGTGAAATCTGTCAACTCAAAAGCTTTTATTTGATAGATTCCCCTTTGAGCAGTCTCATAGATGTGGCATTAATTAATTAAACCATTAAACTATTTTGTGTCATATAGCCTAGTTTTGTGATAGGATTTTGAACCATCATTGTGTTGCTCTTGGTTACGTTTACTCTTTGTATTTTCAGTAAAGTTGTGAATCAGATGGTGTGTGTCAATGTCACTAACAGCTGAAAGGCTTTGAGACAGTATATCTGAAAGTGCTTTAATAACCTCCTTATACCAAACCCGATTTTCTGAATTTGCCATTTCAAACCCTAAGATGACCATCGATGCCATATTTACTCGTGCTTTTTACTCAAACATCCCTCACTGCCTGCTGACATGGGCAGGTTTGAATTGTGTTTGTCATCTGTCTGTTCTCATTTTTCCTTATCATTTCTAACTTGAACCTAATACAAATGTCACCAGCCATGTTTATTCACATTTTCTAGTTACTCTTCAAAGGCCAATGATTTTTCATTGAATTGTTTACATTTCGTTATTAAGTACAATGGTATCTTCGATCACTATCTACTCTCTTTCTCCTCTCTCTCTTACTCTGTTTCCCATTCCCTCATTCCAATGCTCTAGATGGTTTTTAATGGATGTTAGCCTCAGTGGTCTTTTTTCCTGTGCATTTATCTGTATCAGAACTACACTTGTATAAACAGTATGGCTTATTCATTAAAATGTTGAATTTTAAGTTGAATGAACCTTGCTTAAAGGAGAAAAAAAATAAAACATACTGGAGTAAAATTGTCAAGAAATTGTTGCATATTATGTCTTCAGAAAGAAGAGAAAATGTTTAGTGTAATAATAGTGAAATGGTAATTTTATGCATTTTTTTATTTTATTTATGATCTTATTTTGTCATGTTTATAATGAATTGTCCTTGTTTCAAATGGTATGTTAAATGAATTTGACTCTAAAACTATGCTACTCATAGTTCTACAGTGAAGGTCTCTTGTACATACACTGAATTATTAAAAATAATAATAGTAGACCTTTATGTTGTAGCATGGTTATTGTATGACTAAAAGATAAAAACATTTATTTGCCGATGTAAAATAAATGTTTATGAACATTTGATGTGACTGAGAGTAGTCTTCTTAAAATAAAAATAACAAAATGAAAAAAAGAGTGACATAAAAATATGATGGATGACGAGTTAAGTGTGAGAATTACCCCATCCTCTTTATGTAGGCTGTATAGAAATACAAGGTTTAAGAAAGAACGTTTTATGAAGAAAATGACATTTAAACTTTTGTTTTTATTTATAAATATAAATAAAATATATTTTTTAAACCTTTAATGTATTATTTAATACTATGATTGGGGTTGTGCATTGTTACATTTATGAATAAATATGCAATAATTATTTTTAATATAATAACATATATAGTACAAAATATATAATATATATAACAATAACAACAATATTGTTATATTAATATAATATAAAAATAATAATATAATATAATAATAATTAGAATATGCAATAATAAACACACAGCTTTTACACCATATATTGGGTCTTCAGATGAGAGTGGCAGTACCAGCATCAGCCAAATCAAATTTCCAAAAAGTATCTGAAAAGCAAGTAATTGGTTTTTGTACTTGTTGAACAATAACAGAAAGGCAGTCATAACTGAGAGATTAACAAACAAAGACTGAGATTACAATCAGATGTCCCATCACATTGTACATAACAATAAGTGAGTTAAGACAAAGAAAGAAAAAATAAAGAAAGAAAAGAAAAGAAAAGTAGGGGAGTAGGAATTTTTATTTATTTTATTATAAAAACCAAAGTCTTCCAGTAAAGAGTACAAATACATTGCTTTGGGACTTTTCATCTCTCTCGGTGTCTCTAAATATATTAGAAATTCCTCTTTAAAGAACAATAATCGTGGAGGAATTTTGAAAAATTTACATTTTTATATGTAAAATTTCAGTAAAAGCAACAGATTATTTATTACATAAGATACCTTTTTATCCTTAATTAACAAACCGAATTTAACAATTTCCCATGACAGTACAAAGCACGTAAAAGTAATCCATGTTCTGTATCCTGTATATAAAATACATAAAATAGGTACAGGTCTTTTAATCGTAAAAAGCGCGAGCGTAGGCGTAGGGCGTGGTGACGTCATATCCGCGCTCCGGAAGCTCAAGCCCGTCGCTGCGCTGGTTAAACCTAAAGCCTCTTGTGTTGTTCAAGTCAGGGAGGGTCATTTCTCTTTTTCCACTCATCCCAAAATATACGCGGTGACATTTGTTTACACGCAGGTAAACCTGACCGAAGATCATATTTAATTTAGAAATGGACTCTTCTGAACACGGTAAGTGTCGTCTGTGTGTGTGAGAGTTGTCTGTGTATTGAGCAGGTGCACTAAAGATGTGTGTCTGTCTACCGAGTGGGTGGCGCTAATAGGAAGTATGATATTAAGAGAGTATTATGTAGGGAAACTGTTTTTGCGGGTTTAATTGTAGGCTTTAATTACATGCACTACAACTCTCGGTACATTAACGTTACATTAACGTTATAACATGTCTGTTCGGCCTAACAGCTGATCATGTAGTGTTGACCTAACTGGAGATACTAAAAAAGATACACTGTCTGGATAGAAACCCTCATGCCACCCCTGTTGTACTTCCACCCCCTGATCCCGTGGCTCTCATGCGAAGACCCACAGTATATCTATCAGTACATCAGCTCTTTTGGTCTGAAGCCCTGCATTTGTTTGTGTGTTTATAGGTTCTTCAGTGACATCTCCAGGTGTAGCCATTGGAGGGACTCTGCCACCAGGCCTGACAGAGGAGGAGGCAGAAGAGATACAGGTGGAACTCACCAAGGTACCGCAGACTTTATCCAACACCCTTTACCCTCACACACTTACAGCTCAATTACTGCTAAGATTATATGAAATGTTGTGTTGTCTTAAACGGAGAGTTCACCCAATAATGAAAACTCTCTCATGAATTACTCACAGTTCTGTTGTTCCAAACCGATAACACCTTTGTTCATCTTCAAAACATATATGAGAGAAACTTCTGCCACTTCATTGAAAATCTGTTCACCCAAAATTATTTTAAACACTAAAAAGAATGTTTAAAAAATAAATAAATTAGGGATGCACGATATATCGGCCACCATATCGGTATCGGCCGATACATGTTCATTTTTAATGTTATCGTTATCGGCCCGAAAAAGAAGACGTGAAAGAGAACTACATTTCGGCACTGACGTGTT